GGCACCCAGAAGCAGAGCTGCCTGGATGATCAGCAGCTATTCCTAGATGCTTGACTCCTGTCAAGATTAGAAGAACCATGCAACTGAAGTTAGCTCAAATGTCAAACCCACAGAACCAGGAGATAAATAAATGTTTTCTGGTAAGTTTGAGTTCATTTATATTTTAGCCAAAGTTACCATACACATGAAAGAGTGAGGCCAAGGTGGTTGATCTTAAGAGAAAGAGCTTAGCATAGCACACACTTACTTTGACTGTTGGTAAGAATATGCAGGTGCATGTTCATTGGATGTGTCCACTGCTATCTGTTGTTGCTGACCACTGGTGTCCTGGGATGAAGGTGCAACTGTCTGGGGAGAGGTATCAGTAACAACACCCTAAGGAGGCAAATGAAAACACAAAATCCTTACTTGTTTAAGCAGAGGGTCCTCTTCCAGGTGGGCAATTAAAAAACACTCTTTTATTTGGCTTGAATAGAGATACTCTCAGCTACATAAACTCACAGTAAGTGCTTAAAGGACAACCGTAGAGCATGTTTGGGTAAAAGCTAAGAAATTCATGCTAATGTGACAACATGAAGTCTTGCCATAAGAAGTCCTTAGAGTAGTCAAGTGGTTAGAAACCATTTTGCCCATACTTGAAACTTTTCAGCCAGAGTAGCATGCAGCCACTCTAAATAGCAATTTATTAATCACAACACTAATTCAGAATTCCTATGAAAACTTGTATGTTCAAGTATTTCCTAGGATATTTCACTGTACCATATCTATGTATTTGGCCAAACAATAGACTCTGACTTTAATAAAAGTCTACTTGAAAGTTTGAAAATTTTTTAAAAGGATGCTACTGAGTAGGTTTTCTTTTCAGCAATTTGATTTGTTTTCTAAGATGTGAACTGGAATTCATTTAGAAGTTTCAGAAAACAAACAAAAAAACCCTTGTTCTTAATTTTGGTTTGCTCTTCCTTCACCCTTGCTAGTTTGTGTTTCTCACAGATGCCAGCAAGAATGGGTTGTTGGAATTGCCAATGACTGGGGACATACATTTGTTTTCAAGAGAGGTGTAGGTAGCTTTATTTCACTGTTAGTAGCCCCGTGGAGGGCACTGTCTTGAATACATTCTCCTGGTTTTCCTTATGGTTTTGGATATCTGCAGTGACATCTGGTTTCAAATGTTCTTGGTCAATTCTCTGTCAGTGACTAAAGTTCCCTAAAATTCTTCTTTAGTATCTGGAAATTATCCCTATTTTAATTCATTCTTTTCTTTCTTAATGTATTGTTTGGTGTTATGTGTTTTTCTGAACCTCCTACCAGTGTTTACTTAGGTAGACACTGGTGAATGAAGGATGAAAAAGTGTCTTAACATAGAAAGTGAATTAGTGCTTTTCTTTATAAATAAAAATTCTTGACAGTATGTATATTTTCCGCAGTGAAAGACTTGTTCTTAATCCTGGAATTTGACTGTAAGTAGATTATTACCAATAAGGTACACTATCAAGTGGGTTTCATAGTCATCAAAATGCACAAATTTTGTAGATAACCATGTGTGTTTGGTGTCAAGATAGAAAAATGCAAATGTGTGGCAAAGATTTACATTTAAGGTGCCTATAAAGTTGACATTCTATTTTTTTTTTACGATTTTTAAACTTTTTTAAATTTTTTTTTTTTTTTTTTCAGTTTTTGGCTGGGGCCAGGTTTGAACCCACCACCTCCAGTATATAGGGCTGGCGCCCTACTCCTTTGAGCTACAGGCACCACCCAGAAGTTGAGATTCTTAACTTTCTCATACCATTGGTGCTTTCTTAACAGCTAAGTGTAGCAAAGAATATATAATGTAATCACATAATCTGGAAATCTGAAAAACCAATTAAAATTTGTTTCACAGAACACATTTTTTTTGGGGGGGGGCTATAGGCCTGGAAGACATACAAGACTTAAAAATTAAACCTTCTTGGAACAGTATCCTGTTAAACTTATAGGTTTCCCAAATCTTGATATGAAGAAACACTTGTCACAACTCAATACCAAATAAACTAACTTTTTAAAAAGATCCAATTTAGTCTGTAAAGGTCTCCCTTCCTTTCCATAGCTCTAGAGGCTGAGTGGTGCCTCTACACTAGCTGCTCTCCATAATACGGATCAATACAGATGAGTCCCCATGGATGAGAAGGAATGCATAGTGATCAAATTGTGCATGTGCATCAAGTGTGGGGAATAAAGAGCAACAAAAAATAATCACTGGAACCTGGGTGAGGCATCCACATCTCAGTGTTTCACTTCCATCTGTATAGCTCCCTACCTTCTCCTTTTCTATGTAGTTTTATGGCTTGTCCAGTATAAAGATGTGTAGAGGGTATGAATTTAGCCCAGTGGAAAGAGAGGGAAAAAATGGCAAGACTTCCATTAAGAACAAGATGACATCATCATTCATCACATGCACAACAGTGTTACGACAACTTCTTTCTTATCTACAGGAAGGCTCAAACCTGTCATTCACCAGAGCAGTGGTTTTTAACTTTTGGTGCATATTAGAATCACTGGAGATCCATTAAAAAATCCTCATATCCAGTCCATATTACAGATAAATATTGATCAGAATATTTAAGGCTAAGACCAAGGAAACAATATTTTTTAAAGTTTCTGAAATAATTTCCATGTGCACAGAAGTTTGAAGATCAGTGCACTAGCCCAACTTTCCAATTTTAACATGCGTCTGGATCACTGAGTGATCATCTTAACTGTAAATTCAGATGCAGCAAGTCTGGGGTATCTGAGAGTCTGTATTTCTAACAAGCTCTCAGAGGCTCCCAATGATGCTGGTCCAGGAATCACTCTTTCAGAGACAAGGCACTGGAAAAACAACTTAGTCAAACAACTACAAACTTTTCTTCTTCCCTGTGTGTAAGTATTTGTAGTTAACTTTTGATGGTGTAGTGATTTGGTCTCTGCTCTTTTCTCTAAATATGAAAATGACATCTGCCTTGTACCTCTGTAGCAGATTAGTTCATTTCATGTGCCAAGCAAAGCAGACATGTTTTGGAGTACACTTTCGTATACTGAGCTTACAATTTCAAATTATAGAGAAGAACAAAAATTATAAATGAGTATTCCTTGGGTTACTGAAAGACCAAAGTATATGTGACTGAGATTTATTTCCTATTACCCAGGAGTGTCCATCCTGTGGCCAAAGGGTTGCGCGCTGATTTTTTTTAATTGAAAAGTAAATTTATTTCAGGTTAATGTGAAGGTAAAAAAACTAGGTCCAAATATTTGATTTTGTTATGTAGAATCCCTCTTGTGGTTACATCACACACTCAAAAGGTGTGCCAAACACCCTCACACCGTGCTAATTCAGTGAGAGCACCCCGACAGCCTCCCCTCCTCTATTACCCATTCCCCCAACTTGAATTGAAACAAGTTTTCTCCTATGTGGGCATGTACTAGATCATCTAGTGGCCTCATGTTAGTGTTGAGTACATTGGATACTTGCTTTTCCATTCTTGTGATACTTTACTAAGAAAAATGTTTCAACTCCATCCAGGTTAACACAAGGGATGTGAAGTCACCATCTTTTTATGGCTGAATAGTCTTCCATGGTATGTATATATAATTTGCTAATCCATTCCTGAGTTGATGGGCATTTAGGTTGTTTCCATGTTTTGGCAATTGTAATTTGAGCTGTGATAAACAATCTAGTACAAATATCCTTATGATAAAATGATTTTTTTTTCTGCTGGGTAGATGCCTTGTACTAGGATTGTGGGGTTAAATGGGAGAAGAAATTTGAGTTCTAGATTCTCCATACTTCTTTCCAAAAAGGCTGCATTGGTTTGCAGTCCTACCAACAGTGTAAAAGTGTTCCTGTCACTCCACATCCAGACTAGCTTCTGTAGCTTTGGGTACATGCTGATTTTGTGAAGACTCTTTTTTTAGCTTATCTATGGTGTTGGATATCATGAAAAGTGGACACAAACCTTTCTTTTCTGCTAATCAGCTTTCATTAGTGTTTGTGTATTTAACATCTGCCCCAAGATGACTCCTACCTTTCCAATGTGAAGCAGAGTAAAAAAAGGTTGAATGCCCTTCTCTAACCTTTTCTATGAGATGGGGATAGACTTACTTCAATAGAAACAGCTGTCGGAGGCACAGGCGTGTACTGGGGAATGTAGGTCCCTTGCATAGGAGCAGCAGCAGTCATATACTAGAGGGAATCAAAGAAAAATGCACGTGAACTTTGAGTTGCAACCTCAAGTAATATTAAACACCACATCAGACTGCTTTCAATGAACAGTCCGTGGTCAGTGCATAATTAGTCAAAGTCTATTTTGACCAAAAATAAGGCAGTTCCTAAGAGCATCACATGATCTTTGCTTACTGATCAGTACCAACAGCAGCCCCACCTCTACAGTTTTCAGTAAGAGTTAACTCACCCCTGTTCTCTCACTTTGTCTTTTTAAGTGTTCTGTATAAGTCATAAACATTTCACACTTCACAACGAAACACAAAGTCCCTGAGGGTGAGATGATGTCTGTTTTTCTCCATTTCAATTCTAGTACCCATAACATAGTAGGCTCACAACAAGCATTTGTTGAATGAATGAATCATCATATTAATTGTTAGTAATAATTTATTTCAAATTTTAAAAAGTAGAGAAATTTGTAGAGAAATTTTTATGTAGCCCATTCATTATTGGCAAATGTCATTTTGTCATCTTGACACTTAAAACACAAGAAATAGAGGACTACAGATAATGTTGAACTTTTTCTTTCTTTCTCCTATTCCATTCTCATACTACCCTTAATACTTCCTTTCTGATCCCTTTAATCCTCCAAATGTTCCACATCAGAATGAACAATAAAATAGCCAAATCATTTTTCTAAGCTGTGGTATTCAATAAAGTGTCTATGAGAGATAACGTGTATGTTTCCAGTGAAAACAAGGGAAGCCTAGTAATATATAAGCTTGCCTACATAAGTGTATAAACTATTACCCACATTCTTAATACATACATTATGCCTGCAAATGCAAAATGTGACTCTTTGAGAATTGAAATTTGTATAGAATCATCTATGTTTCCGAGTTTCTAAACTTGACCAATATCACAAAGCCCAAATCATCTAATGAAAACAAGTCTTCACAATTCATAAAGGTTATAGGAGTGATTTTTATAAAAACAATCAAAAGTTTGTGATATTTTGTTCTTCGGAATTTGCTGAGATCAAATACTAAGTGCGTGTATCAATATAGAAAATCTAAATTACTCTGTATTGTGTACCTTAGTACTTTCAATATTCAAGAGGCAGGATGATTCCAAATCAAGGAAAATGTCTCAGTGGAGACTAGCCCATTAGAGATTGTTGTTCATAATTACCTGATTCATGGATAAATATAGTAATAAATCCACTTTGGAATAAATGATTTGCGATCCTAAACTAAACATTGGTTTACTCTATTTGCTAAAAATAGAGACAGTCTTAATAGAACAACCCTAAATCAAACCAACCGAACTGTTGTCTACGATACATTTGTTGCTGCTAACAATACAGCATTATTCATATCTATATTAAAAACTACCTTATAATTTGGACCATGAGCAATTGTTTGAAAGGCCTGGTGCTATTCGTCATTTAGCTTTATTGTTCAAAATTATCAGAGATTTCTGTACTCTATTCTCTGTGCTCTCACATGTATCACTCTTCTATTAAAATTGTCCAGACTATCATCTTTTTAAAGGCCTTGGCCAAGTTTTACTTGTCTCTGCATCCTCTAATATACAAAGTAGTGCCTGGTACCCAGTAAGTAATTGTTTAATGACTGAATGAAAGGCTATAAGAAGAAAGTCTACAATTTCCAATTAAAAATCTTGTATGTCTCTTGGCCACTGATCATTCTGAGCTCATTATAGAGGTTGATTTTATCTCCCCTCATGATGTGTTTGTATAACCTTTAAACAAATACCTTAGCCAACTCTACTCATCATTGTCCTCATGCTCAGATAAATACTCAGATATTACATTGCTATCAAAGTCTCCAATGAATATAGACCTCTGGAGTCACATTTCAGGATTATCGTTTCATATCTAGATCCTTATGGCTCGCATACATCTGCCCTGTTAACAAAACTGTTCTAGAGAGTGTGCTATAGATAACAGTTCCCCGGCTATTTCAGACAGGTGATTTATCACTGTTATCTAGGGTCTAAATATCTTTTAATTTAGTATTCCCTACATTGTATTCTTTGGAACACTGGAGCTATACTGAGAGAAAAGCTTTCTCTCAGCATTGAGCAATGCTGCATAATATATCCTTTTCTTGATATTGAAATGTTGTGAAAAAAAAAAAAACACTGAGAAAACATGTTTTACAGAAGCCTATTTAAAGGCAATTAAACCAATATTTCTAAAACTTTTTTTTTTGGTAGCACCTATTAATTTTGGTTAAAACTAGTACTCTGAGGAATAGATTTTGGAAAATATTTCTTTCATTGAATCTGAAAACTCTAGCTGATTTGTAGCAAGTGTTAAAATGTACATATTTTTAAACAACTATTAATTTTAGCTAAGTATAGAATTGATATCGGTGTAGCCATTATTCTACCCTTTGGTCATGGTTTTCCAAGATTTACCATATACTAATTTACTATACACGAATCCCTCACCTATTTAGGTATTTTTTGTTCTCGAGATAGTAATGCTCAACTTTGCAACTGGGCCTAATAAGTTAGTATTGTGGATTTTGCATAACATGATGTTACGGGCACTCATCTGCAAGATTCTTCTCTGATTCATCCTCATTCTGCTATCTGCATCTCTAAGGAGACAATCTGTCATTAGGAACAAAACCTGTGCCATACAAATAGCAATGTTTACTAGTTCACATGAGAATCCACTTTAATTATTTACATCTCCCTCAGCAAATTAAAAACTTTCCAGGTAGTACGCTTAATAAGAAGCATTTTATGTAATTCTTGCATAAGTTTCAAGTGCCTCTGAATTATTCAAATCTACATCTGTGTTTTATTTTAGTAAAATGAATAAGTATGTCTTCACTCCTCCTACAGTATTGAATAAAGTTATAAACATGACTCAAACTGAACTGCTTCTGGAGCAATTCATATTTGTCTTTTTGGAACAATACTGTGAATCTGGCAGTGTGATTCACCCACTTTACAGATGGAGAAACTCTGGCCTAAATACAATGGGAATAAATCACAGTTCTGACCTAAGGTTCAGCACATTTTTAGTCTACTTCATTAATTATCTTTAAAGGCAAGTAAATAAGGCACCAAGATCTTCTTACTGATCATTACCATGTAATATAGATGTTAAATTATTTTAGTGGCCTTTATTAATTGAATTTTTAATTAAGAAATATACATGGTGGACATAAAGTTCGTGTGCAATTTAAAACAGTTTAACATAGTAAATTGCACACAAACATTATTCTACCCTATAGAATAATATGCCATTGACTGGCATTTTTATTGCTAATTTATTTTTCATACATATTATTTTACCTTCACGTTTTAATCTAAACACCTAATTTTCTTCTAGTAGGCCTAACTCATATACTTGGTAACTTATTTTTATGCTGCTTTTCTGAATAAAACCAATAGAGAAGTTTTAGTATAAATGAGATCAGCTCAGTTCATTGTGTTATGTGTGCATTTATATATATCTTTTAATTAAAAAAATATTTCTAGTTGCTTTTCTTTTGTCATAGAAACCTAGTAACTGCAGTAGAACTTGAGAAAGTTCTTTTGCAATTAAGAACTGAATTATTTTGATTAAGTCAATGCTATTGAATTGCATGCCCCTTAAGAATATTATCTTACTATAAATTCTTGAAGTGAAATTCTTCTATAGTACATATATATACATATACATATACATATATATATATTCTTTTTTTTAAGATAAAGCATCAAGAAGTGACAGTCTTTTAAAATTAGGAGCAAGTATTTACAGGAAATGGCTACATCTATGTTTAAGTTCAACTCTCAGGTTGTGGTAATTGGAGATAAATAACTCTGAACTTTCTGTACAAGCACACAGTTTGATTACTTTTAAGAGCACAGAAAAACTACAGTCAGACTTAATAATACAGACAGAAACAACATTGGTTAGATCTGGGTGCTTCAGAGCCTGCTTTCGTTTCATCCAGCTAATAAATGACAGAGAATGACCTACAATACCAATTCTGCTCTTTAACTTGGTAAATTCTCATAAGATGCTTATTAGAAGCATAATGAGAATAGATATGTATCCTGTAAGCTAATCTCTTTTATTAGCATTTCCCCCAAAGCTATAACATTTCTATCATAATTTTTTCATGAACACAAATTATTTATTTTGCATTTTTTGAATACAGGGCTAATGGGAACTGCATTACGATGGAATGATATAGATAAAATGATTTGATCTGTACAATATGTACCTGTCAGTAGCAGTTCACAATAATAGCATTAATGAATAAATATATACTTTTCGGTAAACATCTTGATGATTTTTGCATATTCTGAAATTACTAGATTTTCACATGTGGATGCGTAGGAGCACTGAATAGCCATTTTCAAATCCATAAAATAAATTCCAGACTCTGTCACTTGTTCCAAGAAGTCTAGACACTGCATCACTAAGATAGTGACATGAAGGAAAAAAAATGTGAGATTGGAATTGTGTTTTTGCCTATTTAAGTTTGAATAAACTGCTTCTATTACTGTGAAATCATTGATTATTCTGAGCAAACAAAGAAAGAAAACCCAAATTAGCAGTTCTGGATTGATTCACTCTTCTTCCACCAAATAAAAACAAAATTTAAGTGATTTATGTATTTCCCGTGAGGAAACTTTCCAATTTAATTATTTGTAGAGCAAGGGAGAGGAAAGAAAGTTCTTGCATTTCAATTTTTGGAATTGTTTTAAAGAAACCAATCTATCTCATTTGGAGTTATCATTATACTCCTTAGATTTTAAATTGATGTTTCTAGTCTTTGGTATAATATGTGTAAAGCTGATTAACAAATTTCAGAAAGGGGAGTTTTTCAGGTCCTAACAGACTCAGAAAGTCAGTAGGAAGGTTAGAGAAAATCTATAAACATACACATCTGTGAATGAAAGTTGACCAGAAAAAAAAAAAAAAAAAACAGAGATTATGGTATATGATGCTAACAGCATGCAGCATGAATTACTTTCAAAATTGT